ACTGAAACGCATTTGTGCAACACGTATTTCTCTTTAGGTATGATATAATGATAAAGCACATGAAATATTTATAGGCACGTTTGAAAGAGTACGTAAACAATTAATAATTTAAAGTTAATTAAACGAGTAAACAATTTTACTCGTTGTTTAATGCGTGAAATTACTATTGTTGCTGCTGCTGTTGCTGCTACTATTGCTGTGAGACGAAATTATATATATCCAGTTTTTGTATTCACAAAATAAACATAGATAAATGAAAACCTTACCTGATTTCCCTGTTTTTAATTTCCCTGTTAAATATTTCCCTGTTAAATATCGACAGTAAGGGATCCAGCTCGAACGACCTTGACATGTTGTCGAGATCATGATTCTGAGTGATCTTCAAGTTTTAGTTAGTGCTCATCCTTCGTTTAAAAATTAACAAAAAACGTTCTTTATTATATAACACGAGAATTTTTTGCTTTAAAATAAATATGGTAATTATGCACTTTAAGGGACATTGCATCAATAATGATATATTGTCAAGTTTGTGACCCTAAGTGATCACCTGCTTTAAAAACAAATAAATTTCTGTTTTAAAATAGATTTTCTACTTTAAAAACAAAAATTCTCTGCTTTAAAACAGATCTCCTACTTTAAAAACAAAAAATCTCTACTTTAATAGATTTCCTGCTTTAAAAAAAATCTCTGCTTTAAATAGATTTTTGTTTTTAAAGTAGGAAATTTATTTTAAAGAGATTTTTTGTTTTTAAAGCAAATAATTCTCGTGTTATAGTAAAATCGTTTTTTGTTAATAATTTTTAAACGAAGAACGAACACCAACTAAAACCATCTGAAGATCATTCAGGGTCATGACCTTAACAACATATGTCATAGTCAAAGTCATTCGAGTTGGATCTCCTATTGTCGATATTTATTCCTGTTTTTTTATATTCTAAGAAATCTAAATTTTAAAATAGTTCTTCGGCTTATATTATTCCAGATGGTGCGGGCGGAGCCTTGTTCAGAGTAAAGTGAGTATGTGCAATGTTTTCTTTACGTTGTTTCTAGAAGTATCGAGTAAACACTTGGCGCTGCTGAATCATAGTATAATACTAAAAACATGAATGTAATATTTACAATAAAAAAATAAAAAATATTACCGTGAGAGTAAAAGTATTCAACATGTGCATATAACAGTAACGTGTGTATAACGTATGCAATTGGGTTATACAGTCGTATAAGTTACAAAAAATTTTTTAATTAATTTTATAGTTTTTCTTATTTGATCTAGCAACGTTAAGTGTTTACTTTTTTGTGATACATTTGGACAAGATAACGCAATTTTGTGATAACATTTTAAATAATGTTTTGGAAAAGAATTAAATTACTACTTTGATTGGAAGAGAAAATGTCTTTGAATAAATTGCGATATAAAAATTTCTTATTGCGATATAAAATAAGAAAAATTAAAGCCATTTGTATCGGAATAGGAAGATCCTTCAATAGAAATACAAAGGTATATACTTAGGTTTCATTATACAAGAGTTTAAGATAGTATCACTTAGATTATATTCTTTATTTAATTTGATATGATTGGTATGGACTTTAACTTGGCGCCAGTTATCGATATTAAATCTTTTACAATATATGAATGATACATATTATTAGAATTAAGTAAATAACGATACCACTTGGGTTTTACTTTGTTTTGGTTTTACTAATAGAATTTAACTTGGTTAGTTAAGACTATATGATTCAGATTTTAACTTTTAATTTGGTACAATAATTTTTTTCAAGATATAATAATTTTTGACGGAGTGTTAAAACTGACATTACTTGAGTTGGAATAAGAGGATCTTCAATAGAAATATTTTTGAAGAAGGATTAAAAGCTCTACAAGCTGCGGTCCATTTAGCGCTACAAAGCATTTTTAGCATCGATTAGCTATCTTTAACGCTCTGGAACGCTTCCAGTAGTTCTCATTACGTCATTCATATGTCATCACTTTTGCTCCCACTTCCGCTCCAGCTGTCTCACCTCAGGAGATAAGTTAGCGGGAGCATTCTAAGCATTGGAAAAGTATAAGCGTGAAAAATAAAGATAAAAGATTTCTTCTTCATCATCTTCATATATATGGGTTGATATATCGCTAATGTATTTAAAATATTTATTAAAATTGGAACTGAATTTAATTCCATCACAATGAAATTTTCTTTATGGTTACTCCCACCGATTAATTAGATCAAAATATGAGAAATATATTTTTTTCTTATTTACACTTATTTACACCAATCCGCGTTTTATTTATCGTGAGTAAAATCTTATTCTATACAAAAATTTTTCGGATTTTTATTTTCCCTTGTATAGGTTAAGATTGGCATCGGTCTCAAGCAACGAAAATTTAAATTCATATGGCGCTGTCTTGTCTTCTGTGATTAATGGTCCTGGTCCTCGTAAACTTGGTTAGTCGTTTCCTAGACGCCTTTAATCTTCAGGAATCAAATCGTAGAGATGGAAAGAACTAGAATCAAAAAGAGCGTCAGTCTTCCCCCCATCAGCAAAAACCCCCATGCATCATTCAGAGCGAATCGAGCCGTTTGGAGCCGTTTGTGTAGAAGTAATGGCTGAGTCTCGGAGATCAATAGAATTGTCTAAGAATTCCTGTTTAACAACACAATTAGCTTTCTCCTAAAATAATTTGCTTATAATCTGGTCGGAGAGTAAAATCGGAATAGAAAGTTTCGAATAGAAGGTAGAAGGTGGATTGAAAGGTATTATTAAAAGCATGTTTATTAAGGTAAGGTAGTATTTGAAGGATAACAATATTAAGAGAAACTCTTGATGTCTCCTTGAACGATAAAACCATCTTTTCCATGGAGCTGAAGCTGCGGATGAACGGGTTATTATTCTTAGACATAGATTTCAACACGTATCTTTCGGACATAACAGCAAAGCGAAGCTTAAGTGAGAGTTCCTTGGCTTCAAATAGAATGACGGGTGTAGATTGTCTGTAACCTAGGATGATTCTAATCACTTTGTATTGGAATCTTTCTAGCTATAGGAGAAGTGATTTCTTATTCTGAAGAACAAAAATCTGGTAGCCATAGTTATGGATTCTCTAAAAACAGCTCTATAGATGGTAAGTAAGAGCTGGAGATGAGAATCCCATCAAACCGCTGCCAAAGATAGGACGTTAATCAGTGATTTTTCTTTTTTGATGATCTGCTTGAAGTGATCTTCTCCTTTGAGCCTGCAGTCCAAAACAATGCTCAGAAATCTTACGTTAAGGACTCTTTCCACTAAATGATTGTTGGTAAAGATCTTGAAGATAGAATCTTCTTTATTTTCCAACAGAATGCTTTCTGTTGGAAAATAAGATCCAATTGAATCCAATTTTGATTGGTGATAACTCCAGACCTTTGTTCGAAAAGTACAAATAATAAATGTTAAGTGAAGATTGAAGGTTAGCAACAGCTTCTCCGACTTGTCTCAAGGAAGAATAGACCACAGTCGTTCGCATATTGTAAAAAGTTAGTCTCAGGATGTAGTTGAAGATCCATCTCGAGAACACTGATGTTGAAAAGTAGCGGGCTGAGCGTTGAACCTTGAGGAGTTCTCTTTTGTACAGAGTAAGCTCGCTGAGATGATCCTCTTTAACAAAGTATACACTTCTATGAGTGATAATGTTTTCTATGAATTTGCGAAGTCTTGCGGGAACTCCAATTTTCTCAGAGAGGACTACTTCAGGGAGTATATCAAAAACATCAATTATGTCCAAGAAAGCTGCCGCGACAACTTCATTCGCTAGAAAACTTGTATGGATGTTGTTTGTGAGAGTAACCAAGCTGTCTGTACATGATCTGTTAGATCTAAAATCCATTTGTTCTTGTGGTAAGATTGCCTGCGATTCCACCAGCCATTGCCTTAAATACACAATCTTCTCAAAGATTTTGAGGGTACATGATAGAAGTGAGAATGAGGGGCGGAAACCAGAATTATTCGCCTTCAGAAGATGGTGAACAAGATCTTCCAGGAAGATGATATAGGTCTCTCCTCTAAAAAGCGGTTGAATAAGTTCAGTAAAAGTTCTTTGTATTTAACCGATAGAGCAAAAAGTATAGTATAATATAGCTGATTTGATCTAGACCCGGAAAGAAATTTTTTCTAGATTATGATAAAGTGGGGTTTAACTCATTGGAAAAGCGAATTCAGAAGATTTTTGAAAACTGTTCCCTGATGGTAAATGTCTTCTGCAATCATTGATGACAAGCTTTTATCAGTATTCATAGGACAGAAAGGAGG